CTACGGGGAGCGAGCCGAGCGCAGAGTGGGGCCCACGCCTATAATTTTCAGAATGTGTCGCTTTAGGGACATCACAGCCCAGTTCGTGTTGTAGCCATGGGGCGGAGTGGCTCCAATCACTCCGCCTCAGCAACACATGAAACAAAACCTGAGCTGCCAGGGTCCTCTATACTCTACCGATCCTCAAGTCCTTCCATCGACCATTCTATCGGCTGAAATCATCGACCATCTCTTGTATCGCCACTCAATACGAGGGGCGCAGTCACTATGAGCGTGCTACCTCTCTAGAACACCCACAGCATGTTTTTGATGCGGCTCTAAGACGTCCACGAACAATAGCACACCCGGTGAAACAAAAAGAGAATAACCGCACATTAAATTGAGGTTGCCAGCGCCTGTACTACATATAGCGTGGCAACGGTCATTAATGATAGCATTAGCAAAGGACGGGTCACTGCGCCTCTTCAACCAATAACCACGGGGAACCATTCGCTAGTCCGTGCCCCGTACACGAGACCCTGAGCGCGACTTTGCCGATGGGGTGTCCAAGATCTCCGACCTCCACCGTCAGCACCCTCGCTCCAGCTGCCGAGCGCCGGAGGTGGTAACCCGTCAGCCGTGTTCACTTGGCGCCGAGCTCCGTGCACGACGCTTCGCGTCTCCCGGGGCTCGGTCCTCTGAAAAGGCGCGACCGAACGAACGAACGATCGATCGACCGATCGCCCCCCCCCCCCCCCACCAAGTTATGAGCGCGCATTTATTTATACACGCGGCTTTACTGTTGCAGTTAAATGGAAGCGAGTGACTGTTCGTGCCCCTGGGTGGCTGTCCGTATCGATGGTTTGGTGCTTGAGTGCGGCGGCCGTTGCTGCGTCTCCGGGGAGGTTGGTGTGTGCCGCTGTAAACACCGAAGGACGTGGAAGCTGGAAGCGGCGACGTCGAGATGTTGGTGACATCGATGGCTTCAGCCGTGATGACCTCTTGCCCCTCCGTCAGATGTCGTTTAATTTATTTCCCCCACCAAATTATATTCCAGTTGAGCTATGAGAATCATGTCACGAGACGAAGACATCTCTGTGCGGAGTGGCGCAGCCAGTAGTGCACCACCCTGTGTCAGAAAATGACCCTGGAAAATGGAGTCGCAGAACTATTCCTGGAGTCACTTAAATATACTGTACCTCTTTAGTCATTGCTAAGGGTTAACATTTTTTACGCCCTAATTAACGTGTTTGCAACATGTCAATAAACAGTCTCAGAAGCAGAATACTGTAAGCCAAATTAAGATAAAAACAAATGAATATTATAGATTTTCGTGCAATCATTGGAGACTAGGCTTGGCCAATCATGCAACTTACCTGGGGAACCGAGATACATCGTGGGCAGAGATACATCATGGGCAGAGATACAACGTGGGCAGAGATACATCATGGGCAGAGATACATCGTGGGCAGAGATACATCGTGGGCAGAGATACATCGTGGGCAGAGATACATCGTGGGCAGAGATACATCGTGGGCAGAGATACATCGTGGGCAGAGATACATCGTGGGCAGAGATACATCGTGGGCAGAGATACATCGTGGGCAGAGATACATCGTGGGCGGATGAAACCTGGATTCGAACCCAGAATCTCTTCACTCTCAGCAATCAGACCTCTAAACCACCCAGCCACCTCTAAATTTGTATTCTTAAGTACAGTTCTACAATGTGTTTTATTTCAAGCGTGTACGAGATATCAAACGATGCTCATAACTAATTCACATTCCATGGGAATGTTGTCATGATCTTCCTTGCTGTACGACTGGCTGAGTGTCTGAATTTTTTTAGTAAACGGGACTCGGACCTGATCCAACATCTTTCTCTATCCCTCTACCGCCTTTGAGTCTCTCTCTAAACGAGAATAAAGAAAAAATTGCAGCTGCTGCACAGGGGAGGGATGTGCGTGCAGAGGGCCCCACACAGAGCTTGGTAGGCCTGGAGCCAGTTGCTGGTTCTCAAAGTCTCGGGGAACATGGGTCCATTGTGTTAAACGTGGTCCTGCCGAAGCAGCTGTCACCCAACTCGTAAACTCAAGTGCGACCCCACCGACCCACGCGTTATTTAAAGCGTTCCCCTTCTCCGGCTGCACCAAGAGATGCTGCCGATCGCCTGTCGAGGCTGCAGCATGGCCGGCGGGTCCAACAGGACCCAGAGATAGCCTCTCAGCTGAAAGACGAAACCGTGACTACCCAACAAATATAACCCACCCCCTCCACCACCCCCAAAATGAAATTACGGGACTCTGTTGGAAGTGCTGCACATGAAGGATCAGGGTTGTGGTTAGGGCTTGTGTTGATGTTAAAATTGAAGCAGGTTAGGATAAGTGATGAGTTTAAAGCCAAAACGAAAATTTTGTAAAGTGTCCAATTCCAAAGGCGGTTTTGGAGGGAGTCTGAACCCGATGCTCGCCAAGGTTTTCTTGAATAAGTGAAACACTCGCAACTCGATTTCCTTTCTATTTCCCAGCTTTCTCAGGGCCCCAAGGGTGTAACGTGTGATCTCTAAGCCGTAAAGGCAGCCCTCTTCTGCTCGGTAGGGGCAATTGCCTGAAACGTCAGCCCACCACGTAATTTTATTCTATCCTAGGGCAGCGTAACTGGTAAATATGGTGTGGGGGGGGGGGGTTATCCAAAATGTTCCCCGAGAAAGCCGTTAATACTCCCTCGGAGCTAGATTTTGCATATGGATAATTCCACAAGTGACACCAATCAACATCCATTGTTGTAATGTTTAGGGGCCAAGACATTTATTTTTTCATAATCTTTTCATAAGCGTAAACTCAGTTATATATGTTATATATTTTAAAACCCCATTTCAGATTTTATGTTTCCAAGTAATCATTCACCCGTGTGTAATTATCGTCTGTACAGAGAAGATGTCATTTTGAATCTGTTAATTTTGTCATATTGTTTCGGTTTGCAGCGTTGTCCCACCACCTCCTCATTCCTCCTCCTCGCTCTTTTCTGTCAAAATTAAAGCGACTGGCTCAGACACCGCCGCTCCGAATCCCCCGTCTCTATGCCCCCCCCCCCAACGTCTTCCACCCCACCTCCCGACCTCATTCATTCACAGAGGGCTCCCCATTCGCTTCGGCAATTCTCCCCCCACCACCACCACCACCCCCATCCACGCCACAACCGCACATCCACCCATCCCCCAACCGCTCCGCACCCTGCCACCCACCTACTCACCCATCCACCCACCCTAAGCCACCCCACCCACCACGTCTGTATGTCTTTTTTTAAATAATATATTTTCCCAAGTCGAGGCGACCATTCTCAACATCCCACCTCGCTCATGCCCCCCCCACCCCCGTAAGCCTTAGCGCTACCGATAGGTCAATAATTGAGCTTTAAGGCAGCAGGAGGAGAAAGCGGGCGGGGTTGGGGGACTGTGGGGGAGAGAGGTGCAGCGTGGAGAGGGGGCCCCTAGATGTTGGAAGAGTGGGTGGTGAGGGAGGGAGGGAGGGGAGTGTGTGCGTGTTTCTGTCCGCGCGTGTGTTTCGTGTGTGGGTGGGTGTTTGTAGGGGGTTGGGTGGTTCTGTGTGTGTGTGTACGTGCTCGCTGACAGCACTTACCTCTGCGAGCAGCACTAAGACAAAAACCGGGGCTCTTTGTCTCTGTGTGTCTTTGTCTTCGTGTTTTGTGTGTGTCTGTGGGGAGCGGTGGCTCGGCGGTTTGCGCGCTGCGACACGAACAAGGAGATTCGAGTTCGATTCCCGCTCACGGCCAACACCAGTGACAATTATCTGAACCGGTCCTGGGCCTCCCCTAGGTCGACTCAGCCTCAAATGAGTATCTGGTGAGGTGTGTAAACATCGCCGCTGGGGAGACAAAGGCGGCCGGGCATAGTTGCTGGCCACGTCAACCCCTCGTGCGCCGTCCCGGCCTTCATTAGGTGCTCGCAAACAGCACTTTGCCCCAAAAGTCTGCTCAAGGCTATACGGGCGACCTTTGTATTTGTCCGTTACGTTCATGGATGTGTCTGAGTACAGACGTGTGTCTTGTATGTGCGTGTCCCCATGTGTGGTGCGTGCGTGCGCGTGCGTTTGCTGTGCTTGCTGTGCGCCTAAGTGTCAGTGCGTGTGTGTGCGTGCGCGTGTCAGTGCGCGCGCGCGCGCGTGTGTTGCACGGGGAGGGGACTGTGCGTCTGAACACACAATGTCATTGGCTCCCACAGCCATTGACGTCTTCTCGTGGAGTGGGCCCTTTCAAGCGCCGGGATTTGGGGGAGGCGAGTAGCCGGCGAAAGCGCGCACGGGAGAGGAGGGAAGAGGAGTTGGACGCTGGTTCAGAGGCTGCCTTTTCCCCCCCTCCCTCCCTCTTTCTCCTCTTGTCATTCATTTCCAGGGGAAGCCGCGGTTGTCTCTTCCGCTGCCGCGGCTCTTCCCACTTGTCTGGAACTCTTGACGGCGTGCGAGCGGCAGGCGCGGCTTCGTAAGAATCGTTTTTCCCCACCGAGAGCTGCTGCTGCTTCTGCGCTGTAAACCCGGCGGCGACCCGGGATGGAACTCGGCCGCGGACGTCTCGGCGAGGTGGCAACGCTCGCGCCTGAGGTTCTGTGACGCCGGTTCGCGGATTTATCGTCTCCGTCGGTGGAGTTAGACCCGTGGGCGAGAAGATGACCCAGCGTTTGTGATCATTTAAAAAAAAAATCGTTTCTTTGCGCTCTCCCGTGGCTGCGGGGAGGTGGAGGCTGGTGGTCCTTCACGGTGGTGGTTGCCCAGAGCTCCAACGTTTGGGTTGCGTCCGTGGTGGTTAGTAGCGGTGGTTTAGGAGTGCTGCTGCTGCTGCTGCTGGCGGTGGTGGTGGTGTTGGCCTTGGTGGTGATACGAGCGTTAAGCCCCGGATTCGTCCACGGTGGCTTTGCCGCCGGTGGCACTCAAGTGGCGGCGGTAGGTGGCGGTGCCTGGCGGTGGCTGGCTGGAGCTTCGTTGAAACACGACTGGCTTGGAAGGAAGCGATAGCGGCGGCTTTGCATCCGCGTCTACTTTGGACTGGCCCGGGGAACGCGTCTCGCCCGGCCCGCTGTGGAGCCGTCTTCAGGAGCTGTTTGGACTCCTCAATCTTCCGGGGGCTCCTAGCCGAGACGCCTTTGCATCGCCTGCCGCTGACCCTGCTGTTAAGGTGAGAAGTCCGCCTCGCTCGAGCAGGAACACGCGTAACCGAGTGAGCGACTGATGGTAATGGATCATGGGACCCTTCCTTTGGTCATGGAGTTGTACAACGAAATGCTCCCGTGGAAGAAGGGCTCGGAGAGATGAAATCCGGCGCGCGTACCTGTGCCGTCGGTAGGGGGCAGCAGAGTAGAATGCCTCGTTGTACCGTACTTTGCTCAGACTCTGTATGCTCCCCTTCGCGAAAACACGCAATGGTCAGCGTGGTGAACTGTGGATAGACCACCTTCCCCGGCCCTGGGGAGGCCCTCATCCAGCAGTGGATTGACAAAGCCTGTACATGTGCGTAGTCGAATCAATCCGTGCTTGTGTGTAGATAGATACTGTAGGTGTAAAGGCGCGGACCCTGCAATTGCTCGCTCACGACACTGCTGGCGGAAGGTTCCCAGTAGAGGGGGCTCTAGATTAGAGCCCCCCGCCCCCCCTCGAGAGTGTGGAGAGTAATTCCGGTTTTTTTTTGGAGAAAACCAACAAAAAAATATTTTTTTTCATTATTTGTGTCGATTGGCTTAACTCGCAGGGCAAGGCTCCGCTTAAAGTTTCACAAAGTCTCGGCGCTGATCTCTCGCTCACCAACCTTGCGCCCATCGTCAGTTAACCGAGTAATTCGCCTCCCGCGGAGTGTGACGCTAAAGCCGACAGAGAGCGAACAAAGCCCCGATATCGGTTACCGGTAATCGTCGAGAACGGATGGTTTACAGACCACAACACTTACACTCGCACGGGTTGGATTACGGTGCGCGTGTTTGTTTTGATACGTTCGTATTAAACGCTCACCCGAGACACGCTGTTGTCTCGGCGTGCCCTCCTGTCCACCTTTATCCATCAGCATCGTTCGTTACACGCTGCACGCACCCGGTGATTGGTAAACAGCGACGCGTGACCGCCACCAGTGCTGATTTATTTCAAATTAAGATGGACTGTGTGGACAGCTGCGGCTGGGGGGGGGGGGGGGGGCATTGTGGTTAGACCACAATGCAATGACTCTACCATGAATCCAGGCTGAAGATGTCGATGATTCCTGGCCACGGCATCGGTGGCGCGTTACATCCGAACTGATGTTGGTCCACTTCACCAACCCACGCTGACCGGCGTGGCAAAGTATGTGGGTTTCACGCAGGGCTTGTACATGCCCCGTGAGTGCAGACCAAATCATCCGATCTCGTGCGATCTCAGAAGCTGCCTGGGTTTTTTTTTTGAGCCTGGGGTGAACGTCTCACGATGGGTGGACCGCCGTTCATAAATGCAGGTGCTGTAGGCACAGCGGTCCCCAACCTTTTTGGCACCAGGGACCGGTTTCGTGGAAGACAATTTTTTCACGGACCGGAGCGGGGGGGGGGGGGTCATCATTGGGTCTTTCCCCTTTTTCAAAGAAGCTCTCCAGCGACGTTTGTTTTGTAGCTCATGTTGGCTAGGGGTTAGCAGCTTGTGGGCTTACCAACACTGTGACCGAGTCAAGTGCGCAGTGCGGGAAAGAGGCGCGCACGGAAGTGGTCAATAAAATGATTGGGGCGGGCCACGTGGGGACTCACCGCTCACCTCCTGCTGCTGTGCGGCCCGGGTCCTAACAGGCCACGGACCGGTACCGGTCCGCGTCCCGGGGGTTGGGGACCCCTGCTGTAGGCTGCTGCGACTCGACGTTGCCAGATGGGGGCAGTGCAGACAAGTCGGTTGTGCCAGGACCATGTGCCAACGGTACTGCGATCCTCGTCTTCAGCGCCCACTGAAGTCAGGTCCAAAAGTCCCCGAGTCTTGGCCGACCACGCCATGCCGAGGCTCCGGCATTCAAGTGACGGTCACAACGTCGCTGTTGTGTGGTGTCTGCAACGCGCCGTTTACCAATCATCGGGCGCGATTTGCGTGCGCTTTTTGGGAATCCATGGAGAGGAGGGGCTGGGTGAGGGGGTGTCGCTTACAGAGAGAAGAGGGGGAAAAAGCGACTCCAAAACACATTCGCCCCCGGCGCGATAGCTGCAGTGGTGGCCTTTTGTAATGCGACTCTGGGGCAAGTGGCATCACCATCATCACCACCATCACACCAGTACCATCATACCACCATCACACCAGCACCATCACACCACCACCACCATCACACCAGCACCACCATCATCACCACCACCAGCACCATCTCATGGGACTCACCTGCCAGGGAATGATACGCCCAGGGTAACCACGAAGTTGTCGCTAATGGAGGAGGCGGTGATGATGGGGGTTGTTTTTTTTTATGCCCTGCCACCAGCATCGCTGACGTGTGCACGCACTGGGCGCTCCGTCCTTGCGCGCACGTGCGCGAGTTGCCTGGCGCGCTGAGCTACGGATGGAGCCCGGTCGACCGAAGTTATTCAATTCCAGGCCACGGATAAAATCGGTGGTGGTTGTCCGAACCGATCCTGAGCTGCCGCCGAGTGCCCAGCGCGACGTGTACACACTGGCAGTGGGAGGAGCGGTAGACAAAGGTGGCCGGGCGTAGCTCTGCCTACACCACCCGCTCGTGCACCGTGCTGGCCTTGACAAGATGCTCACGAACAGCACTTGGGTCTAGCAGCAGGCAGTGTGCCTCTGTAATTATAGCAGGGGGGAGGGGGGGCAGTGTTTGCGTGCGTCCTTGAGTGCACATGTGTGTGCTTCGGTGCCTGGTTAGGTGGTGTGCGTTGGTGCTGCTTGGATGTGCACGTGTGTGTGCGTGGGGCCTGCACGTGTGTCGTTGTGCATGTGGTTGGGTACGTGCTTAGTTGTGTGCGTGGGTGTGTCACTGTGTTGTGCTGTGTGTGTACACACACGTGTATGTGTACACACACGTGTGCCCGTGTGTGTGTGGGCGCGCACGTGGGGAGCGGTTAGCGCGGTGCACCACCCGAGTTCGATTCCCCTTCACGGCCAACACCAGGGACGATCTTCTGAACTGGTCCTGGGCCTCCTCCCCTAGGTCGACTCAGCCTCAAATGAGTACCCGGTCCGTTGTGTAAACATCGCCACTGGGGAGACAAAGGCGGTCGGGCGTGGTGCTGGCCACCCTCCCCCTCGTGTGCCATGCCGGCCTTCATAGTAGCTCGCTAACAGCACTTTTCCCGCGTGTGTGTTGCGTGTACGTATGGACATGTGTGTGTGAACACGTGTGCGTCTGCCTGTGTGTCCCCGTGTGTCCATCGCTCCCCCGATACGCCACGTGGGCGACGCCGCAGCCGACCCGAGCCACGTTGTCCAATGCTTCGTCCCCATGCGGCGCTGAGGCTCCCAGGCTCCCGTTCCTCCGGGACCCCTGGGTCCACCGCCGCTCCGACCCCATGGAGAGGGGTCCGGGCTCCTCGCCGGCCTCGCTAGGGGAGGACGGAGACACCGTGACGAACACAGCGACGACCAAGACCCAGATCCATCACGCCCAGGTTCAGCGAGTTCGAGCAGAGTGCGCATCGTCGGCGGAATCCGCCGCCGGCGGCGTCGCGCGCGGAGCAGACAGGCGCGTGCGGGAGCGCTGCAACCGTGCCAGAGCCCTTGCCCACGGCCATGCCCTTGCGCGTGGGGCTCTCGCGCGCGCAGGGCAGGGAGGAGCGGCTGAGACGCACCCCGTGCGCGCGCGCTCCAGGGAGTTCTCCATTAAGGAGACCAACTTCGCCGACGGGGGATTGAAGCTAAAGATCCAGAGCACGGCGAAGATCCAGGGGCAGCAGCAGCAGGGGCAGCGGCAGCAGCAGGGGCAGCTGTCGGGCCAGCAGGCGAGGCGCCGTGGCATTACCATCACCATCAAGCCCACGAACCCTCCACGGGCGAGCACGGGGAAGACATCATCATTATCTTCGTCGTCGTCGCCGCCATCATCATCAGCGCCATCGTCATCGACCAGCGCCTCCTGCTGCGCCTCGTCTGGCTCCGTCAGCTGCTCCGGCTCGTCCAGCAGAGCGGTAAAGAGCTGCGCACACGGGGCTTCTGTCGTGAGTTTCACTCTTGGAATTCAGTGCGTTGTGCCTGGCCGCCGGTACACGCACACCTGTGCGGCGCTGTGCATGTTATTGTGTTACAGGCTGGGTGGCAGGCCGTCCTGATGGACGGGGCAAACCTTTGTAAATTACATTGCTTAAAACGGTATTGAATGAGCGACCTGAATGCATCATTAAGCTTGGTGCTCAGCCACCCCGTCACGTTTGATCGTGTCAAGTTAACCCTTAGCAGGAACGCTGCGTTGCATCTGGAGGTACTGATCGTGTGACCCGGACGTGCGTTGTCCCAACTGTAAATGCTTAAACAAAAACAAAACACGGAATGGGAAGCGAGTTTAGAAGTTTCTAAAACATCCCGTGAGATTAATGCCGTGAACATTTGTTTTGAGTGGGAAGTCGGTAGTAGTCCTTAGGTATTGATAGACTGCTTTCAGACAGAGGTATGTGGAAATTCTCACCTCTGGCTCAGGGCATTCCACCATCACCGACTAAGGGCTGTCAGTGGGAGTCGGCTGTGGGCATTTCATATTAACCACTTGCTCTCGCCTATAGGGCACTAAGAAAAGTCATCACCCCTCTCAGGGTTCATGAGGTGAGAAGGATTATTTTTGTGGTCATGAGATGGTGCCTGGTTTTTGTTGGCACGAAGCTGTTAGCATTAGTGCTGAGCGTCAGAAGTAAAAAAAAAGTTACCCTCCTGTGTAGATCTCTCGCAGTCGCACCGATGTACAGCTCTCGGATTTGCTGTCGGGTTGTACCGCTTGTACATGATGTCCGACGTTTTGCACCACGTGCTGAAGGATTTTTTTAGGTACTGAATGGAAAGCCCATTAATTGATGTTATAAAGGAGCTCCGAGCACGTGCAGGGAAACATTGCTCCCAAAGACACAACCCGAAACCACATTGCAGGGCTGAAGTGACACTTCTAACATGTTGACACGTGGCTGAGGTGGCAGCAGTGGTAGTGGTGGTGGTGGGCGGTTTAAGCTGAAATAATTCCCCCAACCAAACCCGAGGGATGATGTTCACCAACAGCGTAGCGTGGTTGGCATGAGCCCTGGTGTGCATGGTGCATGGATTGAATTGAGGCCCCCAGTCCAATATGCTCCCGTCCGCTCATCATAGCCCGTTGCCTGTGCCCCTTCAGCCCTTGGCGTAGTGTTTTTGGCATGGGCCCTGGTGCATGGATTGAAATGGGGCCCCCTGTCCAATATCCCACAACCCCCGACCTCATCATAGACCGGCGCCTGGGCCTCTCAGCCCGTGGGGCTCTTTGCATTTGCACCGCACACACGCTGCATAGCCATGCCGCTGATGTTGACACTGACGCATCGTGGCTGTTGTGCAGAGAGCGAAGTCGGGAACGCTGACGATCGCGGCCCAGCCGCCGTGTTTATTTTTGTTGGAAAATCAGAAACTGGGGTCCTTTCAAACGCTGTGAACCCCCACGGTAGGGGGTGGAGAGAACGCGCGTGAACCATGAGCTGTTTACATTTCTTCCGTTAACGATACATGCGGTTACCGTCACCGTTCAGTGCGGTCTACGTTTTGAACATTCCAGAAATTTTACCCTGATTGGGGGGGGTCGGAGCGGCGGTGGAGTAGTTTCACGCAGTGCGCTGCGAACCCGGGGTGACCTGAGTTTTATTCCTGTCCTTGGCTCACATCAGTGGTGGGCGATATCTATAGCGAGCTCTACAGGCCCCCTTTTGACCAAATGGTACTGACTGACCATCGTGGTGAAGTAAGGTCAAATCTTCACGATTTGACACGGTGTAAGGAGACCTTCAAATAATGGAAGTAATTTTTTTAAAAATACAATTGTCGTTGTTCATGAATGCCACAAAGGAAATATTGTACTGTGTTATCCAACTGGGCGGGTCGGTGGAAGAGTGCGTGGCCTCTAATAATAAGGTTACGAATGCAAATCCTGGTTGGGATTGACTCATCATCCCGCCAGGGTCGAAAAAAACAAGTACTAACTTTGCGGTTACAATTTAACAGTGGTTGTCCCATGGAAATACTCAACTCTGCCATAAGAATGTCATTGTTTTTTTTCATCACTGCCTTAGGGAAGTGAAAAAGGAGACGAGTGACATGCCAGACTCAATTGAGTGGGGAAACTACTTAGATATTTTTGTAATTTTTTTAATCGTTTTTTTAAACGAACTCACAAAAATCAATGATAAGAAAAAATAACCGTGCACTTTTTTTCCCCTTGGTGCGGTTATGGTGATAGTATCAGTTTCATGAGGGCTTTTATTAAGATTTCCAAGTCCCACATATGGCCTGGCTTAAGGTTGCAATTAAATGGCTGAGCAGGATATTTGAAGGGAGGGATTAGGCAGGATTACGGCAAATGATGTGAAATACATAATATATTGATATGAATGCACTTTTGACTGCCGATGAGAGGCAATCCACTGAATTCTGCTGGTTATTATGGGTGTGCGGCTGGTGTTTTTACTCCCAGTTTTGGCTAATCATTTTAGACGCGTAGTACAAAAAAATTACGCGTCCTGTTGGGAAAGCCCAGCCTCAACAAATGAGACCCATAACCTCGTTAATGCCCTCAAAGAGTGGTGATGGATTTATTTTTCACCGGTGCTCACTGCCAGAGCTGAAAATAGATCTAACGGAGCCGAGCAGTCTTGGGACCGGACTCGTGTTGACAGAAGACGTGTAACAAATCACCCCCAGGCGAAGAAAACAAAAAAAACGCATCCCACTAACGAACACGGTAAAACGTGAACATCATTAATTTTTTGATATTCGGTCAAAATAGGTTCCTATTCGCACTCAAGTGAATGATTCGCAAGTGGAGGTAAGCCCAGACGTGATGGGTTTTCTTCCGATCGCAGGCAGTTATAAATCGGGGGGGTTCCTCCCGTAAACACAGCAAGTGAATGGTAGTGCCCTTTGTCGACAGTGGCCACTACGGAGAAATCTTTCCTTTTCGGAGAACGGCTCATGTTCGTCGACCTAAAAACGAAGACATTTCCATTCAAATTGCCTCCTCTCGCTTTCTGTTCATGGGCAACCCGGTCATTGCTCGAATGCGTCTGGCTGCTGGTGATGTTACGTCTGCAGGCGATGGTGGCTTCTTAAGAAAAAAAAGGGGGGGGGGTTGTGGGGGGTGGAACAAACCTTCTTGTGTGAAAGCGTGTTGTTCACATTATCTGGCCAGCTGCAGTTGCACTCACGAGACGGCGCGGAGCGGCAGGGTGGCGGTCTCGTGGCGCAGAGCCGTCTAGGAATGGCCAGTCTCGCTCCCTCCGAGCGCGCACCCTCGCAATCCGGTTTTCAGCGCTTACTTAACGCAGGAGCCGGTGGTGATTTGCCCCCCCCCTCTGACCCCACACTTTCGAAAATAACGCAATCGCCTCAGGGGGGGGGGCTCTCCAGGTGACGATGTAATGTTGGCTTAACCAATGTCCGGTGCTGCCCAGTGTTTAACCTTGTGTGTGTGTGTGTGTTTTACACTATTTGCGGTAGTGACAACAAATTGAGTCCGTGTTTGTATAGCCCTGCGTCGCACTTAGCGCTTCTTAGTCGGGGCCCCGGCGAGGCGAGGCTGTGCGTCCTGGCCGCCCGTGCGACAGGTTCAAAGGGGTCGCCACGCGGGGTGTCCCCCTCGCTCTTCTCGCCGCGGCCCCCTCCCAAGATGCCGTTAGGCCGCCCGGGTGAGCACGGTGGACGGTGGCCGCCCGGTTGCGCACGGTTGGGCCCCGTGCACGCGTGCAACAGCGGTGGGTCCCTGCGTTATCGTCTTCGCCGTTGCTCTGTGTTTCGCGCTCGCCGTGGCTCTGTCGCCTGTGCTTTTTTCAGGAGCAACTTTCAGGCTAATAGACTGAACGTTCAGGCTAAAAGACCCGACGGTGGGATGGGGGGGGGGTTGGACTTCGCTGTCACATTAACGGCGCTATGAACCCAGCAAACTGCGTTTGATTCCCGACCACGGCTATATCGTCAGTGGCACAAATGACTTCTGAACCGTCCATTGTGGTTACCCGCGTTTTCACCAACCTGCACTTGACCAATTTGACAAAATCCGTTCACATCCCCCACCCATGACCGACAGGACACGGGGAGGCCTTCACTTAAGCGGCGGAGTGACAACACAATCCAAATTATTATGCGAGACAGAGAGATATGCAGAGGAAGAGGGAAGGATGTGTGAATATATAACATACATACTTACACGTAAAACTAAAGTATAAAAATAATTACGCTATTTATTTATTTCTTGAGCTAACCGGCAGTGGCTCTGCATGATGAAGCTGTTTGGAAGAGAGTGAGTCACAGGCAGCAACAGCACAGCCTTTGATATGGTAATGATCCCACTGAGCCGAGGGCGCCTCTGGCAGTGGCTGTGTGATGTTTCTATTGCGTTTGTTTGCCCCAGAGTTGCTTGTGTGATGGGGGGGCAAAGGAATGAATAAATAAAGAAATAAACGTACTGCCCTCCTTGTTTCTCTCTCTCTCTCTGGATCTCTCTCGACTCTACGTGATGCTGAGATACGGGGCCACGAACGGGAACAAGGAGCCAAGTCCACAGGAGACCAATTAGATGCGAGATATTTAACTATTTTACTGCAGCCCTCGGCTCTAAGCCTGGGAAATAGGGCTCTGTGTGTGTGTGAGCGCTGGTGTGTAAATTTCCCCTGGGTGCGTAAATGAACGTGGGCAACTAGCGCACTTGCCGTATTTTTATTTATTTTACCGTTGCTGTTGTTGTTTCACAATAATAGGCGTAATTAGAATTAGCGGAGATGACGAGATGAAAAAACAGAAATAATTTGATCACCGATGATAATATCGGGGGACGGTTGTGCACGGACCAATTTTAGTCGGCGTATATTCCCTGATCTGACACGGATCAGAAACGTGGACGCTCACAAAATAAAATAAAAAACGGCAACAAACGAGCTGAAAATGTGCGTACCGGATGAAGCAAGGAGAGATGGGCTTGGGCAGGACACCAGTGGTTGAGACTAATTATGTGGTGGCAGCCAAAAGGAGGGAACGTGCCTTTTTAGAGAAAGCCCCCCTTGCAAGATATGGAGCAACGAACTGGCATTTTGGCAGTGGAGACATTGGGGGTCCCAAGACTGGACGGCTTGCTCTACGGCCTCCTCACATCACCCGTTTCCAAGCTCAGGATGATCCAAACGCCGACGTCGGCTCGTGTGCACAGGTGCTTGCAGCGGATCGTCGCACTGCAAAACCCTGAGAGATGGGCCAATGACTTTGGATATACCACGAGTGCCAATGACTTGGGATGATGCGCGCAGACCAGATCGATGTGTGCTCAACGTCTGTACAGCACACGGTGCGGCGTGCGACGGTGTGCCTCGAATTAGCGAGGCGCCGTGAGTTATCGGAAATCCGTTCCACATCGGGGGAGCCCGACCCAGGCAGCTCCGCGCGATAAACCCACAACGCTGCTGGACGGCATTCACATCGGGCCCGTGGAATCGAGACAGCTGTCACAGTTTTTATAAAAAAAAAAATTAGTTCCCCTTGGTTATTGTTGCCACCGAAGAGTCTTGCGAATGGCCAAACGGGAAATGTACTCGTAGCGAGCAAAGCTTTTTGTTTATTTTTTTGTGGGGGGGCTGGGTGGGTGGGATGAGGTGGGGGGGATCTATCGCTGGCCGCCCGCTGAACTTTCACTGCTTGCCGCTCGCGGCGAAGCCCATCGTCGTCCTTTGTGGTCGCGTTTGCCCCGGTATCCCGGAACTTGGCCACGATGCAGAAACATTGGGCCATTAGGGCCCACCTGGTACGCGTGACATATTGGCGATTGAGACGCGCGAAACCGCGGGACGCTTTTCTCCGCCGCGGTGACCGTCTGCTTGGGACGGCGGGGGAGTGGCGGCTCAAATTGATTAAATTGAGTAAACTCCGATTGCGGTGCTCGCCGTGGGCGAGGGGCGCCTCCGCGGGGCCGCCGCGACCCCGCGCGGAGTTCCCGACGCCGTCGTTGCCTCGCCGCGTTTGTCGTTCCGTGGCGGCCAAATGTTTTACCGTGCATGACAGGGGGGGCGTGGGGAGTATGTCGGGGGGGGGGGAGCAGGCGGGGAAACAACGCTTCCCCCTCGTGGCTTTTAGCGTCGCAGCGAAAGAAAATCAGGACACACGAGGTTGTCGTCATCGGAGGCTATAAATATAATTAATTGCGTGCGTAATTAATTTGCGTCACAAGGCCGTTGTAATTTTCCTTCAAGAGTGACATTTTTTCGCACGTTGTAATTGAAGTCACCTTAAAATATATATATACAAATAATTAAACTGGAGAGAGTGATGCTGTGCGGGCAAGTTTTCCAGCGTGCTCGTGTGTTTCTGCGGCTCCACAAAAATAAGGCAGACGCAGCCTTTGTTTCCCTGCACCCAGCTTGCATTTTTTTTTACCCCCTAAGAGCCAATCGGGGCCGCTGCGGCGTAACGGACGGACGCCGTGCTCGCGTCCCTCTTCTCCGCCTCGTGGTCATTGGAGGAGTGAGGCCACAGTCTGTCACTCCAGCCTCAGAGAGAGAATGGGGAGCCATGCAGAAAACATATTGGTCCCATGGGCAGCTAGCGCCAGAGGGTCCTAAAGATTGATGCCACAAGGGCCCATAATGGGAGACTAAATGGGTGACATTCATGACAGACCATGAATGGAGGGGCCATGCCCTGCCTGAACTCTACGTACGGCATTGCGTCTCCCAGATTTGTAATTCGTATCAGGGGGGAATTCTGCATTTATGCAACGACAACTGTAAGCCATCAAGGCTACTCTAGTGGACATTGCTTATTTCCTTGACCCTGGCTGTCAAACTTAACTGGCTTTACTTGCATTGTAAACGATTCTGTAAAAAACACTTTTGATCTCGGTTGTTGACGGGTAACATGTGTGTTGCCACGCTGGGTCGTGTCAGGGTCTCTGATTGGATCAGGACAGGTGGAGGTGTTTTGGGGGCGATGATTGTTGACCTGTATAGAGGTCATGCGATCCCAGAATGCTACTGAGAAGCCTCTTGCCCTGTTTTCATGACCGCCAGGAATGGGGCTGGCTCCGTGCTGGAATAGGCACAGGCTTTGTTAGAATCTGCGTCCCCATGTTTCCGGAACCTAGCCACTGAACGGGGACCCTTTTATAAGCGTGCTGCCTGATTAGAGCTGGGCTTAACTCAGAATCAGTCTTGACCTTACAGGGTCAACGCAGAAACTAAGACCATGTTCTGTGATGTGCGCTCGCTTGGTGTAATTGTCTGACCGTGATGCCATTTAGACTACTATACATGGCAAGACAATTCTGACATTTTATTCTAATATATATTATCCTAAACTAAATTATTTTAAAATTGGTCAAGAGTATACACTCCTAATCATTTCTCCCCAACCATGTGCCTTGTCTGCAGAAGTAGGGAGGCCATATAACGTTGAAATATCCACTTAATTTTGATATTGAAGTGGCAACATGGGGCTCCCAAATTCTACTGCTCGCTCTATGGGCCTCCTCACGATCCCTCATCTCCAAACTCAAGATGACCAAACATTCCACAGCCAGACTCCTCATCCACACCCATAAATGAGACCACATCTCCCCAAATGCTGCAATCTCTCCTCTCCAATCCCGGATCAATCTCAAGATCACACTCGCTCCTGCCCACCTCTCCCCTCTCGTCTCACTCTACTCCCCTCTACGCACTCTCTGCTCCACCAACCAAGGCTTTCTGTCAAAGCCCCCATTTAACCTTCACTCATTGGGAGGTCGCTCATTCTCCTCTGCTGCCCGCATAGCCTGGAACTCCCTTCCCAACAGACGTCCGTGTTGTCGACTGGTCAAGTCCAGGCTCCAGGCCTTCCTTGTTTCCCCTCTGCCTATGTCTGACCGCCTCTACCTCTCTATATTCCAAATAACGTAAATATGCCCACTGTTTTCTTCCCAGCGTCCTGAGATGTCGAATTTCGTTGCTGTATAAATCCACGTTGTATTATGTTGTTCTTGGGTCACTGTTCGGCTATCTCTGGGCTGGCAGAGACCAGGTCCAAGTGATCATGGAAATTAGGCATGTATGTGTCTTAATTTCTACATCTCTTGCTGGTCAAAGATAAACCATCGCGTGGTCTCTGCTCTGCCGCTTAGTCGATCATCCCAGCGACAGAACTTTGCCCGGCATAGCAGGATGACTTCCTCTTCCCAGAAAATACAGGAAAACCTCGCCCAACGCTGCTTTATTGACCTCGCTTTTCGGCGATACACGGTTTACCTGAGGTCTGTTATCTGGAACACAGGAGTGATATTTTCGTTCTACGCGGTTTGATGCTGCTAAGATTCTCATCTCCACGTCGATAATTAGTGCGGTGAGAGTGCTGCATCCGTTGGAAGGTGTGAACGAATCGACTGTGAGAACGATGTAGTTCTTGCGTATGTTTTTTGTGCGTGTTTTTTTGGTGTGATAATGTAACACACTCAACACGCACAAGGGCACAACGCAAATGTTCACACGCTGTCGTACACATCTAGCCGTCCAGTTGTTGAGGATGTCAGTCGTATGGACACCTAGATGGCGAATCATTAACGTTCAAGTGACAGTGTTAGGGGCGAGCGCCGGGCTGGGAATTCAGTGTCATGGGTGAGGGCTGGGTGCTGCGGTGCAGGAAGAGTAATGGAGACGCGGGTTTTGTGTCGAGGTAAAATTGAAAGAGCACACACGCGCACACGCACGAGAAATTGAGAGCGACTCCGCATCTTTTATCACAATAGCAAGGGCAGAAATCACGTGGAATTAGTTCAACATAGTGGGGGGGGGGGGGGGGGGGGGGGTGATTTCAGAACCAGGAACGCAACTCTATTTTTCCCATAAGGTCTATTATTTTTTTAACACGGTTTTGCCCAACATGGAATTTTTCCAGGAACGTAACCAGAGGTATGGCTGCAATACTTAATTAAACATTTGAGTCTAATATTGAAATTAGGAGGAAAACGGTTTGCTCGACTGCACGTTTACCATTGTTGAATGTGTGCAGGGCAACAATGAATGTTGCGGTGTAACATCTACTAAAGACGGACAGTTGGTTGATTACAAATACAATATGAACCCTTTCGAGGAAATCCATGGGCCCTTCTGTTGCCGCATCTCTCCTCCCCCCATATTTGGATTGATGTAGAAATTGTAATGAATGGGACAATCCGTCACCATGATACTTCCTCTGAGAACCCGGCTGAAATCCGCTTTTGCTTTTTGCAGCGGTCTCTCCAAAATGTTCGCGAAATCCGTTCTTCATCCCGAGTTTAGTCTCTCAATCGCGGCGCACCGTGTCGTCTCGGACGCCGTGGGCACGGCATATCTCATGCGCAAACGCAACTAAAATATACGAACTCACTAACAACAACAAAAACGTCTTTTTAAAAATTATTTA